GAGGAAACCTTTAGGAACTAGAGGAAGGTTGTATTTCTCATCATTGTTACATCACACCCTGACTGGCTCATCTCCTCCCCGAGACCCCTCTCTGCTCATATTCTTGATCAGGTAATCCAGGAAATTAAATCTGCTCCACTTCCAATATTTAACATCCAGCTTGATGAATCCACAGATGTTGCCAAATGTTTACAGTTACTGGCTTACGTGGGTATATTAATGATGGCAACTTTAAAGATGAATTTCTTTTTTGCACATCTCTTGAAATGACAACTACTGCACGTGATGCATTTGACACAGTTGGTTCATTTCTGAATGAGCATAAGTTCTCTTGGGAAAAGGTTTGTGGTGTTTGCACAGCTGGTGCTCCAGCTATGCTGGATGTTGATCTGGATTTCAATGTTTGGTACTGAATCAGTCACCAAAAGTCATCAGAACTCACTGTATGAGTCATTAAATATTAGCAACGAAGACGCTGCCACAAGAGTTACAAGAAGTAATGAAAAATGTCATAAGTTCCGTCAATTTTGTAAAGGCGAGCACTTTAAACAGTCGACTGTTTTCACAACTGTGCGACGAGTTGCATGTGCCAAATAATGCTCTGCTATTTCACACTGAAATGAAATGGTTGTTGAGAGGAAAATTTTTACGTGTTTTTGAGCTTCATGATGAACTCAAAACATCTTTTAAACAGAAAGCAATACCACAGTTTGAAGCACTTTTTAGCAATAAAAGTGAACTGCAGAAAATAGCTTATCACATAGACTCAAGTATAATCTGACCCAAATATCAGCCGAGGCACTGAATTTTACCACAAAAATTGAATTAAAAATGTGCTGAAAAACTTGGTTTATACTTGAGTATATACGGTACTTGGTTGACATCTTTGCCACCTTGTATGAGTTAACATTTATCACTTCAAGGACCAAATGCAACATGCCTCAATTTGTCTGAAAAGATCTGATCACTCCAAATGAAACTTCAGCTTTGGCACACACACAAAAAAGGATGAAAATAAAATTTACATGTTGCCTACCTTATCTGCTTTCTTTGAGGAACATACATTGAACCAGATAAAAAGATTAAGATGATCATTTCTGTGAAAGAACACTTGCATATGTTTGCAGATGAAATTTCATCCTACTTTCCAAATCTACCTGACAATTCTGGACCAAGGGTTTGAGTCATATCCTGTTCTCTCTCAGACTGTGTTGCGCCTCCTTCTTCCATTTCTAAGAACCTATCTTTGTGAAACAGGGTTTTCCAGCTTGTTAGTTATCAAGTCTAAATACAGACGTAGACTTGTAGAAGATGATCTTCGTTGTGCACTTGCAAAGGCTGCCATGAGAATTTCAGATCTGGTGAGAAAGAAGCTATCTCAACCTTCGCACTGACATTGGCTTTTTATGCATACTGTCACAAAATGTAGCAATGTAGTTTCCTGTTGTTATATTAAGACTGTTACTCATGCTACACCATGCTTCATGACAAAATTTCATTTATTTGCAATTAGAAATAAATATTTCACAATATATAATTACATGTTGTTTTGTGATTAATAATTATGCTTTAATTATGTTCAATTTATAAAAATGAAAACACATCCTGCGTATCAGATATTTACATCTTAATTCATAAAAGTAGCAAAATTAAAGTTATGAGGTAGCAACGAAAATAATTTTATGGTTGGGGGTCAGCCCAACATGAGGAAGTGTATGAAAGGGTCCAGCATGGGGAAGGTTGAGAACCACTGCTCTAGAGTCATTCACACACCCCCTCCCCATTTGCAGACTATTGTGAACCCCCTGAGATAACAGAGAGGATTGTACTTCCAAAGTTAAAGACTACAGGCCAACCTGGTGCAGGGTCAAAATGTCACAGCACATACTTTAAAGCCAGACAGACCTAGATTTAAATCTCAGCTCCACCATTTATTAACAGTGTGATTTGGGGCAAATTTTTCTCATCCATTGAAAAAGTTTTGCAATACCAGTCTTTGGGGGATGGTCAAGATATAATGAGCTAATTATATGAAGCATCTGGCACAGAGTTGTAACTACCACACTGGCTTGCTTGCTGTTGTTCCTTAGGTTAGTCTTAGGTACATTATAAATACCTTGAAGGCTGAGACAATATCCATCTTTTAAACCATCTCCATAGACGAACATGTGAGTGTTGAACCTTTGGTAGGGCAGCGGATGGAAGCGGCATCCTATCAATGGTAGTGGTAGGCCAGTAGAATAGCCAGAGCAACCACTGCAACGCGATCCCACTCTGTTCCGTGTCAGACTATGGATTTTTCTTTCTCCATACCAAGAAGATAAAGCGTCCCTTGCAAACGAGCAGTGATCTCTAATATTGGCTCAAAAGAAAGTTGAGCAAGCTTTACAAGTTGAACTAGCTCAAATGCTATAGATGTTAAATGCAGGTTTTACCATAGTAATCCTATATATTTTCATCCCTCTCATATCTAATATATCCTCTCGGGGTCACTATTGCATATAAGAAACCCTCAAAAAAAAAAGTAAGTCCAGAAACTGTGAGCCTATTTCACTCAATACTTTAATACAGAAACACACACACACACACAACCTGGGCACTTAAGCCCTCAAACTATATCTAAATTATATCTTTTCTTTGGACCCCTCAAATTTTAAGAGGCTATATTCCTCCAAGTTCAAAGTCATGTTTATGGTGACAAGGAAAGAGCAGAAGGACTAAGATAGCAAGCTGAAGGAGACATCCAAGTTGGTCTTGGGTAGCTTAGGAAAAACCAACAAAGAGAATGATAGGGTGACCAGAGGTGCACCCAAGGAAATAAAACACTGCAGTGATTCTTCTGTGTCCATTCTCACAAGCAGATTTTTCTTTCTGTGTTGAATATTTTAATCATTGTGTAAGGAAATAACCAAGATCATAGGTGTACTGGAATTTCCTCTTTCATTGCATTCCCTTAATATACGTAACTTCTCTTAGAGGACATGGAAAAGGAGGTTTATACAGTAATATATACATGGGGATATATTTTAAAAGAAAATCGTTTCAAAGAGCCAAATCAGGGCAAGGCTTGACTATGAACCACAATATAAATAAATGTCCTTCCAATAATGCAATTCCAAATGGGAGACCATATTCTCTGGTATAGGATGAAGATACACACACATCCAAATATTGTGTATAAAACTTGGCACAATAAAAGAAATGCAGCCACATCAAAATGTCAGCACATCCTAGTGGACATCTTAATGGAATAACTCAAAGGAGTTTTTAAAATAGATCAGGCAGGAAGACTTTCACTTAGCCCTGCTGGAAAACATGCGTTTCTTTTTCTTTTTCCCCCCCCTAACTTACAGATGAGGAAAAACAACTTATTCTTTGAGAACAAACAAGTCAGAAGCTCTGTTTTCTGAACAGGCCTGATGAGCTCTCCATAACCCAGCGCTTTCCTCTTTCTTCAACAGTAGGAAATCTAAGGGCACATAGAAGGTTGTCTGGCTAAATCCCAGAGGAGCAGAGGTCTCTGAGCAGACACTCGATGGATGGGATTTTCAGGTTCTCTGGTGCTGTGCAGGGGATGTAACATGTTCTGGGAGCTGTGAGGAAAGAAAGGGCTCCTGGAGCTAATTCTGTCATCTTGATTCCATCACTATGTCCCCGAGGTCAGTCAGGGCTCACAGGTCTGGAAACTTCCTTTGGCCCATCCAGGAACGGATTTCCTGAGTCAGTCTAGATTCTTAGCTTTGCCAAGCTTAGTATTCACCAAGAGTGGGCCTCAGCTGGGTAATGGAAAAATACAGAATCTTGTAGCATTCTGGATGCGTGTTGGCAAATACCCATCAATTGGCTAATGATGAACAGGGATGACTGTGGTTATCTCATAGATAGCTTTTTCCTCGATTGTGGCGAAGACTTCCTCATCCCTTTTTGTTCTCAGACGTAGCAAAAGCTCCAGAAATGTTGGAGGCAGGGGGTACAGGGATAGAGAGAATGGAGTAATCTAGCAGAAGCTGAGCCATACTGGGGATTGTTGTTAGATGCCATCGAGTAAGGTTTGACTTATAGTGGTCCATCTACAACAGAATGAAACATTGCCCGGTTCTATGCCACCTTCACCATTGTTATATTTAAGCCCACTTTTGCAATCACTGTGTCAATCTGTCTTGTAGAGTGTCTTCCTCACTGTCCCTCTACTTTACCAAGCATGGTGTCCTTTGCCAGGGACTATTCTCTCCTGATAACATGTCCAAAGTACAGGAGATAAAGTCTTACTATCCTTGCTTCTAAAGAGCACCCCGACTGTACTTCTTCCAAGTCCAATGAGTTTGTCCTTTGAGCAGTCCATAGTACTTCGTTACCCGTTGCCAGGACCACAGTTTCAAATGCACCCATGCTTCTTTGGTCTTCTTTTTCTAAGAACAACTTTCACATGCATATGAGGCAACTGAAAATACCATGGCTTGGGTCAGGCGCATCTTGTTTTCAAAGTAACAGTCTTGCTTTTAAACACTTTAAAGAAATCATGTGTGGATCCTCCTCCAGTTCATAAGTATGATGATTGGGTCTTCATGCGTCTGTGTGATATGTGCCTCTCTTAATCCTTGTTACGGCGCTGGCACATTGCCCATCTGGCACACAAAAAAAGAAAAGAAGTCGTGTGAAGCAGGTTTGCCCAATGCAATGTGTCCTTTGATCTCTTGACTGCTGCTTCCATGAGCATTGATTGTGGACCCAAGCAAGCTAAAAATCCTTGATAACTTCAATCTTTCTCCATTTATCATGATGTTACCTATTGTGTGGATTTTAGTTTTCTTTACATTGAGTTGCAATACATATTGAAGGCTGAAATTCTTGGTCTTAATTAGCAAATGCTTTAAGTCCTCATTTTCTGCAAGCAATGACACAAGTAAATATTTTTCTGGTATGTCCTGCTTTGAGCTAAGATCCATCTGACATCAGTAATGATATCCCTTGTTCCATGTCTTCTGACGCCTGCTTGAAATTCTGGCAGCTCCCTGTCAATGTACTATTGCAACCATTGTTTAATAATCTGCAGCAATATTTTACTTACATGTGATAATGATATTGTTTGATAATTTTGGCATTCTGTGGTGTCACCTTTCTTTTGAATGGGTTCAAATATGAAACCCTTCTAGTCAGTTGGCCAGGTAGCTGTCTTCCAAATTTCTTGGCATAGACCAGTGAGGATGGAGGTTTAAGAGAGGAAAAAGTCAGCCCTGCCACCAATATGAATATCTTCTCAACCAACCAAACCAAGCTCACTGACATTGAGTTGATTTCTCCTCGTGGAGACCTTAGAGGACAGAGTATGACTGCCCCTGAGGGGTTCAAATTTTTATGGGAACAGAAAGTCTCATCTTCCTCCTGTCTAGTTGCTGGTAGGAACAAAGTGTTACTCTTTCAGTTAGCAGTCTAGTACGTAACCTGCTGGGTCACCAGGGCTCCTTGAATATCCATTAGCTGCTAGTTTTCTGAGCAGTGGATTTCCTAAAGTAAAATGGTAACCCACCAAACTTATCATAAAGCAGCATACAAAGGTCACTTGCTATATTTACTATTATAATAATAAAGATATGAGGGGCTTCAAAAAGTTTGTGGGAAAAGTGGAATTAAAGCATAATAGACTTTTTTCCATGAACCTTTTGAAGTCCCCTGATAGAACCCAGAATCAACCCTTTGAAATTTGCATTTTACTCACCTTTCTTATTTTAACGTATTAATAGTCCAGATCATTACTGCTGTTAAACTCTGGGATATCTATGAATCATATCCATTAAACTTTCTCCAAAGAAATTCTAGACCAATCAATCAATGAAGATGGCCAGCAAGGGGGAAAAGAAAACAGAAAAACTTTTAAAGGCATTTTCCCCCCTTTGGTAGATAGATATGTGTTTCCATTACTAGAGAGTGCACTTACCACTCTGTCTACAATGTTTGTACTGGAATGACCAGCAATACTCAAGTTGACACTGAGCAACATTAAGGAACAGCTTCTTGAGCTATAGCTACGTGACCTAGAGAGCTTTTGAACAAAGAAAAACCGTGTTATAAACACTGCTCCCGCCCACCATTGTATACACAGAAAATACATTCCTGGCAGTTTCAGCATAGGGGTTCTGTCCTTCATCCCAGAATCGGGTTCTAAAATACAGGGGTCCAGGTTTAGAGGCTAAAATGTCATGCTTGATGATTCAGTATCAGACTCAGGCAATATAAATCATAATGTGAGTTCTGGGCATTTCTAAGGTTATTCAGCTTTTGTGGGTAAAACCGAATGGAGAGGAACAGTGGAAAGGGGACTACAATTTTAGCAATGGAAGCAATTCCACATACCAGCTAAGAGGACTTGAATTCCCTTTAGGGCCAGCGGGGTCTTAGTTTTGAGAAAACCATCCAAATGAGCCTTGCTGATACCCACCGATTTTTCTTGAAGAAAAATGGGAAATGACTTAAAGGCAGATGTTTCAAACTGAAAATATAACTATTTTGTTAGGTAGAAAAGATTTTCATTTGGAGTTGTTTTTGTAGTCTTTATAGGAATTGCTGTGCTTCTGTTGTTGTTGTTAAGTTAGGAAGAAGGAAGTGAGAGGAGTGGCATTTTGTGGATTGAGGACAAGATTTTCCTAATGGGAGTAGATAGTCCCAATGCTCGGAAGAACAGAGACTGGGATAATGACTCAGAAGATTAATTTAGTCTAAGAAGTGAGGACCTTCATTCTCTTCCTGGGCCTTGGGGCAGATATGCCTGTGTTCTTATGAAAAAAGCATCCCAAGCAATTATGGGCTCTACCACCTAGAAGCAGGCAGGAAATCAGACAGGTGTGGCCTGGGAAGTTCCCCTAGAGGAACCCTACGTTGGTACTCTGGAGGTGGCCACTTCTGGTTAACTGTTTCAGCTTATTTCTATATTGTAGTTCCCTTTCATTATTACTTACTTTAAGAGAGTAGGGCTTTGAACCGGTTCATTCTGGTTTGTCCCCCCTTCTGAGGATTTGTATTTCCACCCTACAAATACTGAATCGTAGTCTGCATGCTAACAAGATTCCTATGTGTTTCTTTCAAGAGAAAGACGAAGCTTTCTACTACCGTGAACTGTCCAGAAGTTCTGTTAGATAGCTAGAGGCAGAACTAGGAGTTGTCCCTCGACATGCCAAAGCCTCCCTTCCTTCTTACAGGAACTTGAAAGCTGTTTAAGGCTAGAGGGCATGCTCACATTCAGATCTTTGAGACAGGAAGCCAGTACACCTGGGTGGGACACCCATATAGGCCAGATGGCCTTAATTCAGCCAATGGGGTCAACCAGTATCTTTGGCCACACCTCCCAGGGGGAGGGGCCTGAAAAGCCAGAAACTTGGGAGACCAACACACTCTCTCCCTCTCTACCTCTAGTGCTCGGGCTGCCTTCCTGCACTGCTGAGTCACCGTCTCTGTCTCTCTGGTTTGTGTTCAGTTTACTGTAATGCCTGAAACTTCTTCCATCCTTTATAAAAACCCACTTGGATCACAAGCCAGGCTTCTGCATGAATTCTTTCTCGTGCGAAGCCAAGGACGGAGGTATTTCTAAAGCGAGAAACCTAACAGTTCTACCCTGTCCTGGAGGGTCACCATAAGTCAGAACTGACTAGATGGAAATGAGTGAGGTTTCATGTGTTTCTTATAGATGCCCAGGTGATTCTTAAACACACACCTAGCAGAAATGTAGATTCAATTCAACATACCCGGGAGAGAAATTCTTAAAAATTCTTAGCATGGCATCAAACCAGAATGAACTGGTTTGAAGCAATAAAGTCCAGTCTCATTAAGCATGACAGTAATATCTAGGGGGAAAGATGGATGTTAAACAAATAAGTACAAAAATAATGTATGACAGTTGTGAAAATATTGTTTCTTTATATTGCGTTGTAATCCACACTGAAGGCTCTAGTCTTTGACCTGCATCAACAAGGACTTCAAGTCCTGATGTCAGCAGGCAAGGCTGTGTCATCTGCCTATCACAGGTTGTTAACAAGCCTTCCTACAATCCTGACGTCATGATCTTCGTATAGTAAAGCTTCTCAAATGATTTGTTCAGCACACAGATTGCTTAAGTGGAGTTAAGGATACAACCCTGATGCACAGCTTTGCTTATTTCATTCACAAGGTATGTCCTTGTTCAATTCCAAGGACTGCTTCTGCACGAGCGCGAGGAAGTGTTCTGGAATTCCCATTCTGCCCAATGCTAACCATCGTTTGTTATGATCCCCACAGTCAAATGTCTTTGCTTAGCCAATAAAACCTCTTTCTTGGTATTCTCTGTTTTCATCCAAGATGCGTTTGACGTCAGCAATGATAGCCCTCATTTTGTGTCCTCTTTTGAACCCAACTTGAATTTCTCGCAGCTCTTCATAGTCTACTGCAACTAAAATTGAATTATCTTCGGCAAAAATTTAGTTACATGTAATATTAATGGTTTTATTCGATAGTTTTTATTTTCAACGGGGTCACCTTTGTTTGGAATGCATAAAAACATGGATCTCTTCTACCTTGGTCTTGTCAGTGGCCGTTGACTGTTGGACCTGAGCATGCTCTGCATCTTACGTGGTTCTACCATGCTCACTTAGCTTGAGTGTCCACACACATCCAAAGGACACTGCCAGAATATGCCCTGGTCATCCCAGAGGGTGAAGAAAGCATGGCTGACAGTGCCCCACTGGGCATAGTCAGTGGGAGAACTTGACCTTGTACGTGAGTCAGCTGAGAGGGGATGAGGTCCGGATCCTCTCCACCTGCATGAACCCCAGCTCCCAGCCTCTAGCCCCTCACCCATTGTCCCCAGCCCTCTCAGTTAACGGAAATGCTATTACTGCCTGGTGATGTGTCAACTACAGTCACACTTATTTCAACTTGCCACAATCCCAAGTGGCCTGGGTAGAATTGTGCACCCGAAGGTTTTCAAGGCGGTGACCTTGCAATAACAGTTCTCCAGACCTGCCCTCCCACCATCCCAGGTGCCTCTGGGTGGGTGTGAACCACCTTTCAGCTAGCAGTCCAGTGTTTAACCATGTGTCCCCCCGGGGATATCCAGTAACTGCCACCCAGGCTACCTTATTTTTAACTTTGCTGGTGTCCTGAGGTCTTCTGCAACAAAATGAAAATACAAACTTTTATCCCCCACTTACCCGGGACCCTTCTAGAGTGGCACAAGAGTAGTTCCTCAGTTTCCAGAAGCTAATGGCAACTTCCAGTGTGGCATTAAAAAATATTGGTGATTTTTTTTTATCCTATTGTTTTTCTTTTTTACATATGTTCTATATTTTAAAGGCAATATATTTATTTCATACTGTGAATTTACAGAAGATGCATAATGCACTTTTTATAACTTGTGTTGGTGTGTATTATATATATAGTCTATGTGTTTCTTCTAATGAAAATAAAGTTTTTCATACATATATGATATATATATACCATATATATAAGCTGACCTGAATATCAATCTAGGCACCTAATTTTACCACAAAAACTGCATTAAAAATGTGCTGAAAAAACTGGCTTATACAGAAGCATATATGGTATATATAATCTGCTAGTTGGTTAGCCAGGTAGCTGTCTTCCAGATTTCTTGGCATAGGCAGTG